TCGATTTTTCGCGTCGCTTTTTCGAGTTGCTGATTTCGTTTTTTCGGTTTCGCTGCCGTGGAGCTACACCAATGTTATCAAGTGAAGCTGATCGTCTACTGAAGCCGAAAAAGCGAAAAAACGAAACGAAAAACCGAAAAAGTGTGCCGTGGAGCCTGTACTTTACAGTAGGTAATAGGCATAATACATTAAAATAAATAAATGGTTCATGGCAACATTCCCTAGGCAAAAGGTAGAATCAAAACAACACCAAACACATTGTTTGGAAACTGGCCTTGAGTCCTGAGATGTGGTCTGAGATACTCTACAAAGAATTTGACACTGAAAGTCCAGCTGAAAAGGCAGGTGTTAGGTAGCCCTGAGCCTAATTTTGGTCCCAAAATGAAATGAAAATGAATTAAACTGGAATTTTATCTCATCTTTACAAGAAAACACAACATGCAGACGAAATGAATACAATGTGGCGCAATATGATCAGGCAACCAATGATTGACTTTTAATATCCTCTCTCCCCTAAAGAAAGGATGTAAGCTGATGACGTAATATTTATTCATGTGCCCTTTTGGTTGAATTACTCAAGAGAAAAGAATTTCATTGTAGTGAATAACACAGTGTTGATTTCATTGGAATTTCATATCGTGTTGGATGATTTTTTATCAATAAAATCATTCACGAGGCAGTAGTTTGCAGTCCTAAAACCTTTTTTTGCAGTGTTTTAATCAGCCGGTTAAAAACTGTGTTACGGCGCATCTGCTTCGAAATCCTTGATAACCTTGTGTTTGTTCCCGCGTTTGAGATGGGGGAGGATATTATATCGTTTTTATACATATTATTTGGTGACTTCTCAGGACAAGTGAGTTATTAACACACATTTTTACATGATTCGTATCTTACGAGCCAGGAAGCCATGGCGGATAGGGTGGCCTTGGCGGACAAGAAAAAGCAGATGTTGATCTCGCTTCCTCAGTTAGGAACATGGCCGAATCTGTAGTTTTTTATATTGTGATTTGTGACTATCTATAGTTCATTACTTGGTTGGTAGATACCTGCAACATTTTAGGAGAATGTGGAAAATAAGAATGCTTATGGTAAATGTGATTGCTGCTCACTGTGCAGTCTTCAGAAACACATTTCAGTAATTTAAGTTCTTTTTGTCCTTGCTTTTTTGATGAATGTGTTAATGCTTTTTGTAGGCAATACCTTTTTGATTACAGGTGATATTTTAACAGCTGTAGACTGGAATTGAGTTTCAAAATTGTGGTATTTGTGGGGCCAACTCAGCCAAAATCAGGTTGCTGGTAGTTTTGGTTGGACAATGGGTGGCTGCTGGGTGGGGTGTTTACTGAAATTGCCAAAATGTGGCATTGTAGGGGTAAGCCAGAATCAAGAATGCGGGTTTTTAGTACGCCGGTAATTTCGTGTTTTTTTTGTTTTTTTTTTTTGCTTGGGGCGTGGTAGCATGCCGGTATCCCAGAAAATTTGTGTGGGATGGGGCAGTGCCGGTAGCAGCCCATTGGGAAAACTTTGCAACTCTAGTTGACACCTACTACGAACACTGGCAGATCCAGGGCTTCAGCGCGGGGGGGGGGGGGCATACCAGGTCACGGAGCCAAACCTAGGGTACCCCAAAATCCTGTTTTCTCATCGGATTTAGGCCACTTATTTTTCGTCATAGCCCTGATACGATAGTTTTTTTCTAAAAAAAAAAAAACAAAAATGGTAGGGTGGTTGGCGGATCCAGGAGGAGGGGGCTTTTGTGACAAATACCCCGGCAGCGCCAGATATCGACGGAAATTTACGTTTTTGTTTCAGGAATAAGACGAACAATTAACTTTTATTACGAAAAGTTTGCTCTAAAGTGCACAGCAACGCGTAAGGAAGACAAATCCGATCAGTTTTTGGAATTTGGAGAGACTTCTTTGAGTGTATGCACTTCCCGCAGCGTCGCCTTTCTGGATCCGCAGTGCCTGACCCATGTTTTTATATTAGTTTGTTGCCACCTCACATTGTCCTACTAGACGATTTAAGAAATCGAAAATACAAACCTCCAGCCTCATTGCTACCTAGCACAAAATTTTGCGCTGAACCTGAGTCCTTTTTTTAACATTTTTTAGCGTTTGGTATAGGTCGAGTCAGATCTGGTCAGGTCAACCAGTAAGTGTTACGCCAGCTAGCCAAAGTACTTACATAGATGTTAACCACCAGTGACAGCTTCATAGTTCGTAACATTTGCATTGGCACCAAAATTAGGTACTTCTCAAATGTTCAAATGGGATCTAGATTCGACAAAATTGACATGATCTCCAAAAAGTGACCCAAAGTAATCTATGGTCAATGCCCTTGACCTGACCTTTGAGTACCCTTTGGCACCAATTATAAAGCATGGGACTACCATCATTTCACATGTTGGCACGTTTATAAGACACAACAAAGTCTGGAAACGCAGAGATAATGTGGCATACGTCGAATCGCGATTCCGGCCTGACATGGTCTCGACAAACAGGTTACAGGTCATGGGTTATGAGTGGCAGGGCCATGAAATTTTCAAGAAATATGTAGGATTGATTATCTCGAAATTACTTTAAATTCGCCCCGATGGACCACTTTTTACCCGAATTATTTGCGAAAAACGAGGGTTGGGTCTATCCGACCTCCTAATAAGTGCGAGGGTTAATCTCTACCAAACACCGGAAACAAACAGCTTCTCTCATCCAATAGCGTTGCGATATTCTTATTTGACCGAAACAAAGTTTCCTCTAGAACAATGAAGACGCTTACCCAAAAGAATAATCATACCTCTCCGTGTTGAGCGTTTGATTGATTTAGGGGACGACCCACCGAAACGGTTCCTTCTCAAAGGGATGGACTTTGTCCCTTTGGGGTCCGGGTGTCAGTCGGTGTTCGATTTTAAGTTCGATGTCTGATCTCCTCATCTTAGGCGAATCTGAAATGTTCTCAGTAGACCGAAAGAACTCAGACGCCGACGGGGCCCTCAAGAGTCCACGGTGTGGGACCTAATCGGAGTTGCCGATGGGTGGCCGTCTACTGATGTGTATGATCCTCAGACGCCGGTGGGGCCCTCAGAATCACTAGTGTATATGTAGAGCCGACCCAGGGTCGCCAGTATGGGACCGAGGTACTGGCGTGGGACCCTCAAAGGTATCGGTGTGGGGCCCCAGAAGCGCTGGTGTGGGACCCTCAGAGTCGTCGATGTGGGGCCTAAATAGACACCGGTGTCTCAGAGGTGGCGGTGTAGGGCCCTCAGAGGTGTTAGTGTGCAGCCCTCACAGTCGCCGGTGGACTTTCATTTTCAAAGGCACCGTTCGAGGGGGTCCTCAATCCTCAGAGACACAGGCATGGGGGCAAGGGGTCTTCGAGAGGCCAGCAAGGGGTCGGTAGAGGCCTTCAGGCGCCCTGCGGGATCCTGGAGACCGGCGTGGTACTCTCAGGTGTCCCTGGGAGCCCTCAGAGTCACCAGTGTGGGGCCCACAGAGTTGCAGGTAGGTAGCCGTCAGATGCACTTGTATAAGACCTTCAGAGGCGCCAGTGTGGGGCCCTCAGAGCCGCCGCCGATGTAGGGCCTTAACCCGCGTCCGGCTGGGGGTCCTGGATTTCCACGCCCTGCTGGGGGGGGGGGGGTGTTTGAACACCCCCCTTCTAACTCGGCTCCTGGGCCACGTAGCGATACGCGGAAGGCGGCGTTCGAAAGAGCGTCAAAAATAATGACGAAATCACTTCGGTCAATTTTTTGGTCAGGTCAAAGGTCAGGTCACCAGAGGTCATTGAAGGCAAAATTTCGCCGATTTCCAGGTCGAATGTCGAAAATTTCCAAGAAGCCAACGCATAACTCGGGAACCAATAGAGCTACAGCGCCGCGGAAAAGCGCATTCGATAGCCCGATTAACGCCCTTTCTGAGCAATTTTCTCAGATTTGACCTAACGTCAACGGTTTTGCCTGCAGGGGGCAAAAACTGCAAAAATAGCCGATTTTTTTTTCGGAAACAGTTTTTCTGCAATAACTTTTGACCCAAGCCTTGTACGAGCTTACTTTTACCGGCATCGTGTTCCTCTCGTCATGACGCATCGAATGAACTATAACTTGACCTTGAAAGGTCAACTTGAAAATTTGACCTCAGGTCAAGGTCATGACCTGACCGGAAAGGGTCATGTTGCATATCAGTCGATCCGTATCGTCGAGCTGAACACATCTAAGGCGTTTTCATCGCTCTAGCATGCCTCTATCAAAGGTTATTTGCGAAAAACTATTAGATACCATTCGTGACCTAAGATGACCTCAGGGCATGAACAGGGGTCACGGACACCATTTTCATGTTCAGTGTGTCTAAACTACTTGTAATTCAGTGTTTGGGAGTGTTTATAATGTCTTTCGTCCAAAAGAGGCGCATTTCAATTTTCTCCCATTGACTTATAATGGGGAGGTCGCAAAATTGACCTGACCTTAGGTCATCGATATCAAAATTCTGAGATATACATTTTGTACATGCTATTGCTCTTAGCAATCGCTGAAAGTTTCAAAGCGATCGGTCACTCGGTGTAGCTATGACAGACATTGAAACTTTTTATGAGGTGAGGTCACTTCAACTGACCTGGTGACCTGACCTTGAATGAACTTGGTCTGAAATTTTCACAACATGTGTAGAATTGATGTATGATAAGGTGTACCAAAAACGGCGGCGCGAGATATTCGCGAAAAACCACAAGGGGGGAGTGTTCAAACACCCCCCCCCCGAAACATTGGTGTTACCTTAACCCGCGCCCCGCTGGGGGGGGGGGGGCAGAATCTGCCCCCCTCCCGTTTTTCGCCATTAACTTCTAAGCGCGTTACGCCAGCGACTGTTGGAATTTGTAAGATATCCACAAAGAAAATGGTTTGGGTTTTATAACAAGGGGACTTTTAGGAACAACAAGTAATAAACAGAGTTAGGAAAATGATAAGTTCATTTTCTTTGAGCGTTCATACAGAGGCCGGCCGGGCTTACCTTGAAAGTTGGCCTCTGTGAATATGTCCTTCACTGCCGACAAAACGTCTGTTTGGCTGTGTCGGTCGAAGTAGATAATTGTAGATCGTCTTAGGTAGTTCTCCACACGGTGTATGTAGAACGTCCGTGGTAGATACTTGCGACTGGCGCGCACACGGCAGCTCACGGCAGCACTCACTCCGGCAGACGACTGGGCCGCCCGCCCCGTCCGCCCGTCCGTGGCGACCTCGGCCGGTCAAGCCCCCGAGGCATTGGCAGCCTGCCAGCTCGGCGGTTCACCGCTGCCCCGCCCAGCCCGGCCCGGCCCGAACGCTCAACAGGGGAGGGGGAGGGGCGAGGTCAAGCCGGTTATGTTTGTAGTATGAGGAATGAGGATAATGCTTAGGAATGAGTGCAAGCTGCCTGTGCAATGTGCATGTATAATTGTTTATGACGATATTCTGATGAATTTGCACACCCTCCCGCTGACAGATGCTAAACAGAGTTTAGCATCAGGTATGTTGGTGAAACATGTCGGCTATATTCTTCCGTCTCGTACCAGAGACTTGACGAGATCAGCTTGCCGGATTGCTGCCTGCCGCGTTGGGCGTCTTGGAGCTTGCTCTTGCTGTGCTGCTGCGCCTTTATCCTCACGGGCTGGTTCAGCATCCTGTCGGGAGTTATCCTCAGTGACGTCTCGACCTGTGTGTGTGCTCTGGATCTCTAGTGGGTAGAGGTGAGCTACTGAGTACCTCTCTGTTCGCCCTGCGCTGGTCTTCAGGAGAACCTGACGAACCCTTCCGTCATCTCCATGGAGTAGTTGCAGAACTCTGCCCATGAGCCAGAACATCCTTGGTCTGTTCTTTGTGCTAATGAGGACGATGTCACCGACCGAGATCTTGTCTTTCCAGTCAGTTTGGAAGATGTCACGGGTGGTTTCACGGAGTCCCAGCAGGTACTCGCTGTACCACATCTTCTTGTACTGGTCTTGAAGTCGTTGTTGTTCTTGACAAACTCTTTCGCTGTCAATCCCCGTGTCAGCATGTCAGCCACGTTGGAGGTTGTAGCCACGTAGTGATGCGAGATGTCACAGTTGTATTGTTCTTGCAGCTTCAGCTTCATCGATGTTATGTCTTCCAGGCGATTGGAGGTGAACCTGCTCTTGGACTTGCAGCCTGACATCAACCACTCGAGGACAACCTGGGCGTCACTCCAGAGTCGCAAGTGATCGACAGTCATCTTGATTGAGTCGAGTATGAGCGGAAGACACTTCAGTGCAAGGAAAACTGCAAGCAGTTCCAGCTGCGGGATGCTCTTGTCGTCGGGTGCGAGTTTGCTTTTCGCGAAGACTAGCTGTGGTTCGGAGTTCTCCTGCTTCACGTAACAGGCGAACCCGTAGCACGCCTTGCTTCCGTCGCAGAAGAGGTGAAGCTCGGTCGGCTGTCCGATCTCCGTGTCACCAGTCTTCCTGGGAAACTTTTTTTCACGCAGAGAGTTGAGATCATTCTTCAGCAGCTTCCAGTCTCTGTATACCTCCGGCGTTACTTCTTCGTCCCACGCCGTGCCGTCCTTCCAGACCTGCTTCATGAGAAGCCGTCCTCGGATGGTCACAGGTAGGGCCAGAGATAGAGGATCGAAGACCTTGCTGATATTACTCAGCAGCTGCCTCTTCGTGATTCCCTGAGGTCGCTCTTCGAAGCTGAAGTCGGCCAGTGATACTACATCTTGCTTGGAGTCGTAGAAGTATCCCAGTACCTTCTCGACGGGAGCGTCATGCTGATGGATGGTGTCTTCAGATGCCATGATGTCAACCAGCTGTCTCGCTGGTGTTGATGTCTTCATCAGTGACTTGATGATCGTGTTGTAGTTCTCCAGCAACTCTCTCGTTGAGGGGAAGTCCGTCTGCAGGGTGGTGCTCAGCTTCGACTTGAAGTTCGTCGGGAGTTTCTGACAGATCATGTAGCTGACGATCTTGCTGCCGAGAGTGTCGTCCTGAAGAGCATCGAAGCCAAATGCCTTCAATTCATACACTGAGGTACGTGCTGTGTTGAAGAACGACCGTAGAGCGGTAAAGTCCTTTGCTGGCGGTGAAGTGAGTTCGTGCAGCCTCCTGATGTGCTCTTCAACCACGATATCATTGTCCAAGTACTCTTCCTTGAGGAACACTCTGGCCAGCTCGTAGCTCTTCTCGTCGTTCGACAGGTGCTTGATTGTGTCCAAGGCATTTCCTCTTAAGTAACTCTTCAGATACATCAGTTTCGCCGTGTTGCTGTAGGCGCTGTTGTTTCCGATGAGGTCGTCGAACATGTTCAAGAAGTCGTTGAAGGAGATGACGTTATCCTGTGACCCCGAGAACAGAGGCATCTTCAGTTTTTGGATGTCTGGTCGCTTGATGCTTGCTGTGTCGACTGAAGTTTGTTCTTCCTTCACAGCCTTGGAGCAGTTCTTCATGAAGTTGAAGAACGTCTTCTTGGAGTTGGAGAAACTGTCGTACACCTCTGATATCCACGGCTCTTCACCATCCATCTCTTCTTCTGAGGTCAGAAGCGATACATACTCGTTGTGCTTGGACTCAACGTCTGACCATGCTTCCTGCAGCTCCTTCCAGCAATCCTGAACCAGACCAGGTTCCGCTTCATCAGCGATCTGCTTCAGAAGATTCCTGTTGATCCTGGTGAACGCGCGCTTGCCGTTAGCGCGGGCAACCCTCAGTTTGTCCATGTTCATTACCCTGAGAAGAACGACTGGTGTTGAAGAGCGACAGCAACGGTATCCTCACGCTGAAGACGCTGCCGCACTCTGTAGAACGTGTTGAACTGCTGATGTTGTAGGATGACAGCAACGGTATCCTCACGTTGAAGACGCTGCCACACTCTGAAGAACGTGTTGAACTGCTGATGTTGTAGGATGACAGCAACGGTGTCCTCACGTTGAAGATGCTGCCGCACTGAAGAACGTGTTGAACTGCTGATGTTGTAGGATGACAGCAACGGTGTCCTCACGTTGAAGATGCTGCCGCACTGCGAAGAGCGGGTTGACTCGCTGATGTTGAAGAATGACAGCAACGGTGTCGTATCGATGAAACTGCCGCACTCGGAAGAACGTGTTGAACTGCTGATGTTGTAGGATGACAGCAACGGTATCCTCACGTTGAAGACGCTGCCGCACTGAAGAACGTGTTGAACCACTGATGTTGAAGGACGACAGCAACGGTATCGTCACGCTGAAGACGCTGCCGATGAACACGCTGAAGGCACTCAAAACCTCACAGCCGCTGAGACCGATTCGCCTGGGTACGGCGTGTTGTATACCAGTAGCCAGTAGGTACTATGTGTGTAATCTCAGCAGTGCTAGTGAATGTTTATAATTGTACGACCGTGTTTATCAGTTGTCAGGTTTGTCAATAGTTTTTCAGCAATAACAATATGTGCACGGTTTTACGTTCAGTTTGCGAGACGATTCGGCTTCGTGTAATATTCACAGTTTTTCTATGTTGGAATTTGTAAGATATCCACAAAGAAAATGGTTTGGGTTTTATAACAAGGGGACTTTTAGGAACAACAAGTAATAAACAGAGTTAGGAAAATGATAAGTTCATTTTCTTTGAGCGTTCATACAGAGGCCGGCCGGGCTTACCTTGAAAGTTGGCCTCTGTGAATATGTCCTTCACTGCCGACAAAACGTCTGTTTGGCTGTGTCGGTCGAAGTAGATAATTGTAGATCGTCTTAGGTAGTTCTCCACACGGTGTATGTAGAACGTCCGTGGTAGATACTTGCGACTGGCGCGCACACGGCAGCTCACGGCAGCACTCACTCCGGCAGACGACTGGGCCGCCCGCCCCGTCCGCCCGTCCGTGGCGACCTCGGCCGGTCAAGCCCCCGAGGCATTGGCAGCCTGCCAGCTCGGCGGTTCACCGCTGCCCCGCCCAGCCCGGCCCGGCCCGAACGCTCAACAGGGGAGGGGGAGGGGCGAGGTCAAGCCGGTTATGTTTGTAGTATGAGGAATGAGGATAATGCTTAGGAATGAGTGCAAGCTGCCTGTGCAATGTGCATGTATAATTGTTTATGACGATATTCTGATGAATTTGCACACGACGTCAAACTTTCAGTACCTTATCATACATCAATTTGACACGTTCCCTGAAAATTTAAGCGAAATCCGTCGGAAATTTTTTGAAAAATTGACGTTTTTGTGACGTCATGTTCGCCATTTTCGCCTCAAAAACGGCAAAATTTTAAACGCCGCTAACATCTTCATTTTTAAAGGAATCAAGACGTAACAAAAAAGGTTATACGTGATTCTACTTTGTCTATCAAATGGCTATCTCGGTGTTTTGAAAATTTTGGATTTTGGCCCAATTTTTTTTTCCAAAAAACTGACTTTTTGGGAAAATTATTACAAAATCCAAAATTTTGAGTGTATCGAAAAAAAACGGAATAAATGTCAGAAGTAGTCTATGTGCACCTATATACTAATTTTTAGAAGAATCGGTTCAAAAATGTGGGAGTTATTCAAAATTGTATGACGTCACGACACACAAAAATTTTGAAAAATGATTTTTTTGGAAGTTCTAGACCTCGTACGGAAACAAAAATAGCACCATTCGATTCGCCGTAAAAAACTGCAGCAGATAGACACCTTTTTAGGCCTTAACAACATACTTCAAATTTGACCTCACTTGACCTGACCTTGACCTGACCCCGGCCTGAAATTCATCTAGAGGTGGTCCATATCACTTATATATTGAGTGTGCCCATTGAATTCTATGAGTAAAATGACCCATAAAACATGTGTCGCACATGCCCTTTTCTATATTTTGTTTTTGGTGACATGACCTGACCTGACCTGACCTGACCTTGACCTTCACCTTTGAATGACATTGTATGCAACGAATATTGTCTTGGTAGTCTAAGAACACGTTTTGGGCAATCAGTCTCAGTCCATTCTCCGGCAACTACGGTGCAAGGCCGATATTATAGAAACTTACATTTTGTACCCTTGACCTGACCTTGACCTGACCTCTGACCTACTTAAGCAAAAAAAATTGGGCTCTTTAGATCCGCCTTGTTGAGAGCTTTCGATTGCCGTTTTCCCCGTCTTTCTACGACCATCGGTTCGGAAGTTAGACAGGGGGGGGGGCAGAATCTGCCCCCCCCCCCCTCCCCCAGCAGGGCGCGTATGGCTGAATAGCCCAGCGGGGCGCGGGTTAAGAAACATTGGTAGTCCCTCAGATTTGTGGTGCTTGGCTCTCAGAGGCGCCGGTGTGAGGCCCTCACAGGCACCGTTATGGGCCCTCAGACACTGGTGTGAAGCCGTTCCATGCGGGTAGGTATGGGTCAGGACCCTAATTAGAGCTGACGCTTAATAGGTCAGCAAGGGCTCTCATAGGCCAGCACAGGATCCTCAGAAGCCGGAGTGGGGTTCTTACTGAGATGTGTGATGTGGCGACTCAGGAGCCCGTGACCCCGTGAGTTGCTCTCACGAGTCCTGCGGGTCTTATCTCAGTCGAAATAAGGCACGCTTGGACCCTGAACGCAGAGGTAAAAAAAAAGTATAAACTCCCAACCGAGCGATTGTGGAAGATATTGATTAGCAGAATGACTAAGATGTGGAAGATCCGGGCTTGTTGCTTGATACAGCATGAATACCGTCAGCTCTTTTCTTCCACAACACACTTCCACAAAGTGCTAGCGCAGAGTCATACCAAGTGTGGAAGCCACTGCCAATCAGAGCACGACAGTGAAGCCACAAGCTGAAATGGCGATCGCTGATTGGTCCTCTGCTGCTATTGATTGTGGAAAGAGCGTCGGCGAACACGGCGCATTCCATTACAATAGTGAAGTTCGCTGCCAATTTTACTGCAAACTAAAAATATGTGGAATGATAATGATCTTTATAAAAATCGCGTTGCATCGTATTTTCTTGGGAAATTACCTTTAAAAGGGAATTTTAATGTTAAATAAAAATAGAAAATGGCTTAAATTCATAATCTATGTAATTGATATATGAAAGGGTTAATAGAATAGGTAAATGGTATGCAAACTACCACACCAACTTTCACTTCATTTCCGGTCACTCGCTCGCGGCGTCCACCGGCCAGTTCAGTTTGAACCTTCCGCCATTGCCAGCGTTTTTTGCCGAGGGTCTCGATTTGTGTGCAAAGATTTGTGCTTTCATCAGCTGCTCAGTTCACTGCAGTGAAACAGTGGCGTGGTGCATTGGTGCTGGTGAAGTGTTGCAAAACTTGTGAAGGACTAGCAATGCCGAAACAAACAGTGCCGTTCTCGAGGACCAAATTGGCTTGCGGTCTCTGTCCCTACGTTGGGAGGAGTGATTCTCTGCGCAGACATGCCAGGTCGCAGCACGGTGGACGGATGTTCGTAAAGGGCTCAGGTTTTGAACCGAGCGGCATCTTCTCAAACTATCTGGTAAGTGCCACCTACGTCGACCACCTCCCGGCCGTGTTGTTGGCGTCTTTTTTAGGGATTGATTGAAATTTGCTGAGAGGAAGACCCGCGGATCACTCAGTGCAACAGTCCCCAGGGTGCTGCTATCAAAATGCTTGAAAAAGTGACCCCAACATTAAGCCTATGCTAGATGCATGGTCATGTACATCTTTATATTGCCAGTGCCGAATGCTGTCTATTCTATTGAGACCTATCAGTCAAATTTTTGTCAAATTTTGTCAAATTTTTAGAAATTTCGTCAGCCAACAATTTGGCTGACGAAATTTCCAAAGTCATGCCATTCAGATATTAGTTCCATTTATTTTGTGCCAAGTTCAGGTGACAATGGCTTCCCATGAAGTTTTTCTCGGATGCTGCCAGATCTGTCTTTGTGAGAAATAGGTACTTGGAATCGTTGTTGGTACCTTTGTTATACTAGACCTATAATTTCGAGGGAAGCAAAATGTGGAACGTGGAAAAAATGTGGAAGGAAACTTTTTCGGTGACGAAAAAGTTTGTGGAAGATTTGAGACTTTTTTGACCTCTGCCTGAGCGGCCAATTGGCACTGCAGGGCCTCTCGGGCCCATAGGGCACCATGCATCTAATGAGGCGGCACGCGCCCCTTGTGCCCCCCCCCCCCCCCGGTTACGCTGCGCTGGCTGCGGCCATACAGGTAAATCGTATTCTAACCGTCCCTATTCCCAAGCATAGGCGGCGGCCGATTCCTGGTTTGCGCAATATGACTGCCTTCGTTAGACAATACGGTCAATAGGGTTGAAGCGGCATTGCTCCCTTGTGGTAAGAAGCAACATATTTTTAGACAAAATAAAGGCAATGACAACTAAATTCAGGTTACTAAAACGACTCTGATCACAAAAGTAGTTACTAGGAAGGCTTTCTAATCCATTTTTATTTAGTTCCTCGTTATAGGCGTAAGAAGTGTAAGTCTGAATGGGGGGCATACTTGTACTGAATGCCCCCCCCCCCAGGCTCCTGTCCGGGGGGCATATGCCCTTAATGTCCCCCCTTGGATCCGCCAGTGACTACGAATACCCGGCAGGACTCCTACTGGTTGACCTGACCTGACCTGACCCGACCTGGCCTAAATGCATGAAGACATCATCTGTGATCAAAACTAACATGATGTTCGTGATCAACACCCCGAAAAACCCATAGCAGCCACACTTAACGACGTTCTAACAGGTCCCGATTTTCCCGACTTTTGGGTCATTGACCTGACCTGAAAGGTCAACCAATGATCTAGGACCTTAAAATTGGG